CGGCAAACTTCGCAAGGCTATATTATCCGTATTTTACAACATTTCGCAACGAAACTTTGGAATATTACTAATTTTGTGATGCTCTTTCAAGCTGTGATTTAGATCTAGACTTGTTTAGATAAAAATTTAGTCTATATATGCAAATGGTCATTTACATGTAATATTGACTGCGCTATTGATGTTTGAACGTCGAACTACTGTTTTTGAAAATGCCAAAAATTAGCATAAAACAACCTGATGATTAGCCAATTTTTACCGAGTTTTCACCAATTCCTAAAACGTATTCCAAATTCAAACAGTTGTATAAGCGCTATATATCAAAATCTAAGTTGGTCCTTTCTGAATGCAATGATCTTTATTTCATTGCGATAGCGGTATAGTACTATGGATGAATAGAAAGTCAAATGTTTATGAGCACCTTGCCGATATAAGCTCTCGCGAAAGGACGGGCAAGCTTACCACGCAGTCATTTCAAGGCTTAGAACACGTTTATCTTTCGAGATTTTAAGATCGGTGAACATTCGTGCCAGGGGATGTAGAAGGCCCTTTAAGAACGCCGACTGACTTCGACGATGATTTTAATGTAAATACTAATGCAGCGGAAATTTTTTAGGTATTTTTATAATGGAGTATTTTCATGGATGGATGCTTAAAGTTAAAAGAGTTTTTTTTAGAGTTTATACAGCTAGGGTGTATAAAAAAATGTACACCCTTTCAAATTCAAATTGACCGTAACCTATTGTAGTAATTTGACAGCCGTATAATTTCTCGAATTAATGAATGCGTGAAAACACAAGGTCTTCTGCACACGGGAATTTAGGATAACTTCTATTTGTATATGAACAAATACACAACTCAAAGAAAAATGTTTAAATGAAGCATTATTCAAGTCTCCATAAGATATAAAATGGGCCAGCTTACTGCAGAGCAACGAATATTTAAAAAGTTATGGCTAATTTGAATTTGCATGAATTTAAAGGGCGTACATTTTTTGATACACCCTACATATATAAGGTTTGGAAAGATAGCATTTTCAACTTACTGTCCTCTTAGCGAAGGAAAGTCCCACTGCGCTGTCAACAATGGTGTTAAACTTGGCAACCTGAACGCCAGAAGACGACCGCTTTCACAAAGGCACACCAGACAACTGTTACCTAGAAAATTATAGAATATTTCCAAAAATTTGCCACAGGGCCTTTTTTAAGAATTCGTTCGTGTGTGGGGGGGGGGGGCACCTACAAATAGTGACCATACTATACTGATGAAGATTGTTGTTGGTGATGGGGCGGATAAGCGCACAATTTTGCAATGATTGTGCAGTTAGTGAAGAAAGCAGCATATTGACAAGATGTGTAGACTTTGACACAAGTATGAATATCAGATATAGAGGCATCTGTTAAATTAACGCTGATAGCCAAAAAGTTTGAATTTCTGCATAACATTTTAATATAAGTTTCTATCAGTGATAGAAATTTTAAAATTCCAAGGTAGCCCCACTAGTTATTGGCGATGGGGGGGTCTGAGGGCACTCTCCCCCAGAACATTTTTGTATTTTTCCACCCCTTGAACTGAATTTCGTACATTTCCTGAATTTCTGAAAGAGGTTTTTGTATAAAGCGTTACATTATACTGTAGATAGACCGATTCTTCAGTTAAGTGCATGTATGGTATGTTTATGTTAATACCTTTGCGAGATATGCCTCTCTACTTTAAAAGAATGCGCAAGAATGATTAAAAAATATACCTTCGATAGAAATGACATCAGATCTAAGAACAGCTTTGTTCTCCGAGAGATCTTTCTTGGAAAATCGCTGATGTGATGGAAGGCAGTGTACCTTTAAAACAAAATAGAATTTGCTTCAATAACAAAAAAATCACAAACCCTGGCTATAAGGTATGCCAAAAACAGACGTACTTTATAGCCATAAACCCTGGTTACAAGGTATGCCAAAAACAGGCGTACTTTATAGCCATAAACCCTGGCTATAAGGTATGCCAAAAACAGACGTACTTTATAGCCATAAACCCTGGTTACAAGGTATGCCAAAAACAGGCGTACTTTATAGCCATAAAGGTATGCCATAAACAGGCGTAATTTATACCCATGCACAAACCCTGGCTATAAGGTATGCCGAAAAAATCTAAAGGTCTATAACATATACCTCGGCTTCTTTGTCCGTACAGACAACGAGAAAATGGCGTTCTTCACTTTTGGCGTTGGACGATACTGCTGTACAGGAACCGTCTGGTATGCCTAGAAATGATTTCGAGCACATTGCTCAATACAGGGTGCATAAAAAAGTACGCCCTATAACAACACTTCTGGTTAGAATTTTCCTGTTTAAGGTGGCTCAATAGGAAAATATCAACAAATTCTTTTTTGGAAAATGGTATCTTTTTAATATTCAAGCTATAAACTTATATTAACGAGCGAAAATGTAAAATATTATCAGTTGTAGAAATGAATTTTCTCTTATTTTCTGATACGACATGTAAAACGCATTATAGAAGAACAACAATATAAAATAAAAAAGTAGGGTCACAGACCTTCTTACTGTCGTTCCAATTGAAATGTTGCTCAAATATTGATTCAATACATTACCTCGGGCTGACCAATTCATTTCATCAAGTTCCTCGAGATATTCATACACTTCCTAGTATAATTGTAAACTTCCTGTTGAATAGTTTGAATGCACCAATCACCTTTGTTGTTTGTGCAACTAACCAATCATAAATAGAAAGGAAGTGACCAGAAATGATCAAATACTTGGAATTGGCTCTTTCACAGGAAGTGTATGAATATCTCGAGGAACTTGATGAAATGAATTGGTCAGCCCGAGGTAATGTATTGAATCAATATTTGAGCAACACTTCAATTGGAACGACAATAAAGAGATACAAGGGTTAAACATGTAACATGATGTGGTTTTAGTGTTAGCTGAACAGGGAGTCCTAGCCAGAGTTCTGTCACTTTTGAAGGTATATTTCCTGAAGCACGCCTAATCAATGCAGAGTGTTTCTCTCTTTGCCCTTATTCTTTCTTTATCACTTTACATTGCAGTTCGACTACATATATAGTAACTAGAACTTGTTATTAGATATGCGCAGTAAAAGTGCGCAATGCAAAACTAATGAACCACCTCAAGTTAATGCGAATAGCGTGATTTCTGCCACATCCCAAATCAGAAATCGTTATTTTCTTAGCTTTGAAATTCACAGTACCTGCACTGGTCCAGAAATAGGATGGCGATGTTAAAAGATGTCCGTTTTTGTCCAAAACAGAAATACTGTCCACTTCACCTTTATGAGTAAACACCAGACCTATAGAAACGAAATAAGATTTAGACATGAACGATCAGAATTCAATAAGGTATTATATAAAAATGTATATAAATTTCCATGTTACCTGTATTAAAAGTTAACACTGGCTGAGTTTGTCTCTGCTCGCCTGCCGGTGGAAAACTCGCAGCAAATAAAACAACATTGCCAAGACTAGTTCCAACCCATAGACACGGACCAACGAGATGCTCTGAAATAAACGTATTTGAGACAAAAATATAATAACGAAAACAACAGAATTTTACGATAAATATTAATACATATACTTAATAATTCACAAGGAAAATACAAAAGAAATGAATGTTTAATCAATGTTTGTAAATCGCCGGATAAAGATTTGTCCGGATTTACATAAACTTCAGCTTTGATTTTCTCGGCTTAGACAATGTTTACTTTTAAAATTACTTCGCCAATGAATTCATAAGGCCAGACGGGTCATTTTTTCGCATCCGATCTGTATCTGATATACAAACTCTCGCCTTCGGCTCATGTTTTATCTAGTACTTATAAAGAATAACATTTATTTGCGGACCATTCGTTGTATCATACAGAGCATTTTAAGAGAAGAATCTTCTGTATATTAATAAGTAACACACGCTCAAAACTAGTAATGAATACTGTATATTCTAATTTATGTATTATAGGCCTATATTAGTGTTAGAATATTTTCTCTCAAAAAACATCTCTCTCAAAAAATCAGTCGTTTCAATATAATAAGTAATATATTCACAACGAGCTGTTTTTCAATGGATCTATTCCCTAATGAACAAAATTTTGATCTATAGACAAGTCTAGACAAAAATTTTATCACAGAAAGCGGTATCAATTTCCCGCGTGCGTAATACAAAATGACTGAAAAACGGCAAACTTCGCAGGGCTATATTATCCGCATTTTACAACATTTTGCAACGAAACTTCGGAATATTACTAATTTTGTGATGCTCTTTCAAGCTGTGATGAAATTTTTGTCTACACTTGTCTAAATCAAAATTTTGTTAATTAGGGAATAGGTCCATTGCGCACTCTCTGCATAAAAAAATCTAACCCTACCTCCTTTTTTCGTGAATGTATAAGCGCAAGTTATGCATAAAATATTCTCTGTCACACCGTCTGTACTGGATTGACTCAGAACGCCGCCATCTGTGCTGGTGACGTCATTTTCACCCACTATTTCCAGGGGCTTCGACTTCGTTCTGGTCGCCCGCCGGCGATTTGTAGAGGGTTTGAAATCTCGTTTTCTGCCCCCTGGCGACTCTGCCTCAAGGGGCACGCCGCCCGGGGTACGAGGGGTTATTGGGGTACTTGGTGTTGAGGGGATCTTGGAAACTACATTCAAAGAAAAATCATAAGCGTATCGTATCTTTATATGTGATAGCGATTTCCTTTGATGTTCATAAACTTTAACTTTGATTTCATTCTCGACTTACACAACGTATTTTTTTAAAAGTACTTCGCCAATTAACTTACTAAATTGATCGTTTTTGAAGCAACTTAAAACATTCGCAGTGCGTGTTTTATCAGACTTAAAGATACTGGGTCTCGGCTTTCTATCTGATAAAACATTGCTGCTCATGTTTTAAATAGTACCTCAAAAAGCATTAATAATTCACTAGTGAAGATATGGAAAATATGTCACTTACTATATAATAAATACATTTATTAGACTCTGTGTATATACAATTATATAAATACATACCAGTTAAGTCAGAAGGATAGAACGTAGAAATTAATTTGTTTTGCGTTGTATCAATTAGAACAAGAAAATTTATACTTCCGAACGCCATTCTGAAACAAAAAAATCATCAAAGGTTTAATACAATGTGGAATGAAGAATCAAAGCACCAGGCAGATTGATGTACACTCAATCCATCGCGCGACCCCTAAAACGTGAACTTTTTACCGTATTAACTGTTCACGAAACAATTTCTTAAACGCATGACTGTTTTTAAGCACGTTTATTTCTTTACAACAAGTTTAAACCCCTTTTAATCTTGCAGAAAAGAGCTTTGCGCATCATGACTGCGTATCCCCGTATCATTGAAATACAGTTATTTCAATTAAGGTTGTCCACGAGCAAAGCGGAAAAGTCGAATACGAGCGCGAAAGGCTGCTGGGAATCGCTAACAAATTAATGAATTTTCAAATTTGCTCGTGGACAACCTTAATTGAAATAGCTGTATAATAGTTACCCATTGTCCTCTTAATTTGAAACATTAATTAAACTTCTCGAATAATTACGTCATTTTAATGACTGCGTGTCCCCCGTATCATTGAGATATAATAGTTACCGATTCTCTTCTTAATTTTTTGAAACATTAAACTGCTCGAATAATTACGTCATTTTAATGACTGCGTGTCCCCGTATCACTGAAATATAATAGTTACCCATTCTCCTCTTAATTTGAAACTAATTTCTGAATTAATTACTAACTTCTCGTTAACCGAACGCGATGTCTATATACAAAGAAATATCGGACCGAGGTCTTTTTTGTACAAAAAAACCGAGGTCCGATATTTCTCTGTACATACCGAGCAAGCGAGGTTAATAAAAAGTTTATCATATGGCATTTATAGGCATTTATACTTGAAACAAACAAGAAATGCATGATTTGAAATGCATATTAGTAGCGTGGTACACATTTAGTCGAAGAAAACCAAAAAATACCAATGTATTCCTTCTTTTCCACTAAAAACCATTCGCAGATATCTTATTAACAACAAATTAAATTATAATTTTCAAATTTTCTATTAGTTTTGCTGTTTTGATTTAAAATGCATGCGTTTGTTTTTACGTAATGGATCGCCTGTCCACTACGGGAAATAATGCACCCGCTGAAAGTGCTTCACAGCCAATCATAGTCCACCATTTCACCGGAAGTGATGCTCGCCATATAGTAAGTCATTTTAATGACTAATACTATTCTCCTTATTACGTTTTCGTAGCGCTTTGCATTGTGGTTATAGTGGTATAACTGGGTGTAGGATTGGAACTGTCAATTTGTGTTTTATTAGTAATGACAACTGTGCTTATCACAGGAAATTTACGGTCGACTATCCTTATCACAGGAAACTTATGTTTTCCTTTAAGACTGATGTAGTTAATTACGTTCTTGCATGGAAAAAGTACGCTTTAGCCCCAGAACTCGGCAGTATAGTTTGAGACACTCGTAAAGAGAGGACAGCCAGAGAGAGAGATAATTTACGTTAAAAGTTAAAGAGTTACTGGTGAAACATCTGTAAGTGACAATTCATTTGTATATTGTAGTTTATTGTTTAGTTGCGTTAGTGCTAGGTTAAGTATTTAGTATTAATTTAGGTTTATATTCATTTCTATTTAGTCGAACCACGTTTCACGTTACACGTTATAGTTTCGCGTTTATATTACAAGTTTGGTTATTATACGATTACATTCGAGTTTGTGATCTATTTATTTCGTTGCCGTTGGCAAATTGGCAATCTGAGCGACCCTTTTCTACGTGCGTTTGAACTGTTTTCCTAACGTTACCTCAATATTAGCCTGCGAACAGGCTCTCAAGCTGAATTGAGAGCCTGCATCGATGACTAATGAATTTGAATATCTGCCCCGTAACGTTCGTTTTTCCAAATATGGAATGTCTATCCTTATATGGTGTTGTTTACAACTTTCGTGCAAACTAAATTTAGACCGTGCAAACTAAATTTAGACCGTACAGTTTATACTGTTTTTCGAAATATAAGATATTCAAGCAAAAGTTCAAATGTTTTAAATACTGTTTTCTCAAAACAGAACATTTCGTGCTTTGAGATAAGATGGCCAAGACCAATTTGATCAGTTAATGTGTTTTTATGCATAGTGCTTCAGCAGTTGACATATATAGAGCTCAGCGGAAACATATAAATTATAGCAACTGACCAATGAGAATTTCGCGTCACGATTTGAGACGCAGATATTCAAATTCATTAGTCATCGATGCAGGCTCTCAATTCAGCTTGAGAGCCTGTTCGCAGGCTACCTCAATATCGGTCTCAAATTGTGCTCACCCGTGAGCTTTATACCATCTTGGTTTCACTGTGCATGTCAATGGTGTTAGAGCTTACACTGTGCGCTTTCCATTTACTGTCTGACTGGTCAGACCCGAATTCTTTTCTCTGTATCAATGGAAAGATCTGGTCTATGTTTCTCAAATATCTAGCGAAAATGGACCTCATTCTAATGTTATCAAAATTTTCCAGTCAGATAGGTCCGAAAGCCCAAATGTTTTGTGTTTCATTCAACAATTCGACCGTTCTGACCGGTTTGGCCGTGTTACAGTCGTTCCAATTGAAGTGTTGCTCAAATATTGATTCAATACATTACCTCGGGCTGACCAATTCATTTCATCAAGTTCCTCGAGATATTCATACACTTCCTAGTATAATTGTAAACTTCCTGTTGAATAGTTTGAATGCACCAATCACCTTTGTTGTTTGTGCAACTAACCAATCATAAATAGAAAGGAAGTGACCAGAAATGATCAAATTCTTGGAATTGGCTCTTTCACAGGAAGTGTATATGAATATCTCGAGGAACTTGATGAAATGAATTGGTCAGCCCGAGGTAATGTATTGAATCAATATTTGAGCAACACTTCAATTGGAACGACAGTAAAGAGATACAAGGGTTAAACATGTAACATGATGTGGTTTTAGTGTTAGCTGAACAGGGAGTCCTAGCCAGAGTTCTGTCACTTTTGAAGGTATATTTCCTGAAGCACACCTGATCAATGCAGAGTGTTTCTCTCTTTGCCCTGATAAAGATAGCGGCCTCGACCGAAAATATTGAATGTTTTCGCAAATATTTTGCTGTTGGCTATCGCGCACATGACCCTAGCTTTTTTAAAAGTTCTTGCACAGGTCAGGAGAAAAAACAAGCCATCTTGAATATCAGTGATACCACTATAACCACAATGCAAAGCGCTACGAAAACGTAATAAGGGGAATCATCAATCGACCACCAAAAGCAAGCACTATCAAAAGTGTCCGGGTATTCTATAAATAATCGCTCCTATTTTCACAAATACTTACATTCCAAAGGCTGAGCTCATGGTGAGATAGCACAAAGGCACGGCATTCCCGGTGATTTCACAACGACAACATAACTGCGCTTGAAAACCAGGTGGTCGTTTATTCAATCCCAGTTTCGGTCGCCATATTGACTGGACCGTAGAGGATGTCGGGGACAATGGGGGCAATTTGTCATCCGTAGCTTTGTTATCCTCGTCATGTTCCCGTGTATCCCCATTACTCTCGGGTGATCCTCTGCCGTTGTCGTCGTGTTCCGATGTGTCGTCGTTGGATTCCGGCGAATTGCCGACGTCTTGTTCGGGAGACTTTTCTGTTGTGATTTCAACTGAGATCATCTACGGAAATACAACAAAATAAAATTTAATGTTACTAATAGTCACTGCTGTGAGTAATTTCGTTCCAAGTAACTTGTTACATGTATAATCGCTACATTTTTTTATCTTGATCCATCGTTTCAGAACGTTTTAGAGTCATTAATAATTCATGAGAAAAACACAAAGAAAAATCATAAGCGTGTCGTATCTTTATGTGTGATAGAGATTTCCCTTGATTTACATAAACTTTAACTTTGATTTTCTCGACTTACATAACGTATTTTTTTTAAATTACTTCGCCAATGAACTTACTTACTTACGTTTTTGAAGCAATTTTAAACATTCGCAGCGCGTGTTTTATCAGACCTAAAGATACTCGACTTCACACCTAGTATCTCTAGAGACCTTACGATTTTAGGACGGCAACGGCTGCCAATACAATACATCATTGAAAAGAATTGAGTAATTACAATATATGAATAATTTAGACATTGTCCTCGCTCTGTTTACAACGCCAAATCACAGATTTTCACGTCTTGATACAACGGCTGCATTCCAAGCCACAACAAGTGCGACTTCAAACTGAGTTTAGCAGAACTCTTCGCAAACATAAAACCCATGTCTTCAACTTCTAAAACTTCTAAACTTCTAAAACTTCTAAATTCATACGATTGATAATATACGACGAACTATCTTTACTACCATGCATTTATTTGAAGGAGTTTGTTTTGGCCGTCGCCGTCCTAAAATCGTAAGGTCTCTTTTATTAGGGTCAGCCATGGGGTTTTGGGTATACAGGATCTAATGGGTATTTAATTCGAGTATACTGTATATTTACTTCAAACACTCATTAATAATTCAGGACAAAACACAAAGAAAAATCATAAGCGTGTCGTGGTTTTATGTGATAAAAAATCATGTTAATTTACATAAACTTTAGCTTTGATTTTCTCGGTTTAGACAAAGTTTATTTTAAAAATTACTTCGCCAATGAACTCGTATAAGATGAGTCGTTTTTTAAGCCATTTAAAGCACGCGTAGGAGTGTTTTATCACATATAAAACACTCCGCTACGCATCGTGTTTTATATGTGATAAAACACTCCTACGCGTGCTTTAAATAGTACTTAAATGTTATGACTAATTTTGGGTATTAGGTATACAGCTTCTGGTTGCTTTAGGTATTTTGTAACATTTTCACCGTAATAATAGGTATTTTGATCCATATTTATCAGCTATTTAGGATACCACGACCCCCGGCTGACCCCTTTTTATATCTGATAAAACACTACAAAATCCATAAAATCCATAAACATGAAAGAACTTTCAAACTGTACATACCGCGAGTTCCAGGTTTTGTTCGTTATTATCGAACGTGAAATACAGCACGTGATTAGCAGCGTTCACCAGAGCCAGCGTTCTACTGTGAACACATAGATGCACCATGTGAATGGCAAGGAAATCAAAATCCTCGTCAAAGAATTCCTCCGAGGTACTTTCTTTACTACCACTGCTGTCTGTTCGCGATGCTTTCCTCTTCTTGTGAAAGTATTTGTGCGTTGATAACTTTCCAGCGAGAGTAAACATGCCTAGAGAAATGTTTTTGATGTTACTCTGAGCGTGCATTCACACCGGGCAGGCTGAAAAGTTAGCCTGATCACGGTGGGGATCGAACCCGCGACCTTTGGGATTCTAGTCCAATGCTCTGCCAACTGAGCTACGCGTTCAAGCATTGGACTAGTATCCCAAAGGTTCGTTCCCCATCGCGCTCAGGCTAACTTTTCAGCCTGGCCGGTGTGGATATACACTCAGAGTAACATCAAAAACATTCAAGGGTGGGTTGACTACAACATTTTTGTAGTTCGCTATAACTACAGCTACTTCAAAAATATGTAGTCAGCTACAACTACTGCTACTTTTGAACAAAGGTAGTTCGCTACTGACTACAGCTACTGCTTAAAAAATGTAGCGAACTATTTCGCTATTTCGCTACATTAATATTTAGTTTTACTGTATTTGGAGCATCTACTAACTCATTTAGTTTTATTGTATGTGTAATGTAATGTAACCTATAACAAATCGACTTACGACTAGCAACAGTAAACATGTTCAAAGAAACAATTTTGTAAACACTACAGTGTTCAGGAGTGTAAATTGACTAATGCATGAGTATTGATTTTAAGCAAACCGTGTCTCAATATCATGCTATTCTATCAAGTTGCTAACAATTTTAAAAAGTAGCGAATAGCGATTCATTGTTTGAAAAGTAGTCAACTACTTGGCTACTTTTAGGTAAAATGTAGTTCGCTAAAACTACAGCTACTGTTTTAAAAAAGTAGTTAAAAACTACAGGCTACTTGAAAATTGTAGTTTGCTACAGTAGCGAACTACAACTACTTCGCTACTACCCACCCTTGAAAACATTATACCTAAAGAAAGCTCACACATAGTATGGGATGTTTAAACACGTTGCACAGTTCGCTAAACTGCAAATTCCGCAAAATTTGTGAGAACTTTATGCAAGCATGGGTGGTTTCGGGGTCTGCTAGCATGTTTACCACTAAAATTATTTTGAAAAGTAAATGTTCTAGTGCAGGAAGGTTGCTTTTAAAAACCACTTTAGAAATGGCTTGCGCACAAAATTGTAAGGTTTTAAACGCAATTTGAATTGATACGGTGCAAACTTGGAAGGTGTTTCATAAAGTCGCAATTCTAGGGGGGGGGGGCTTAAATGATGACCAGTACGACTAGAGAAAAGGGACTGGGGGCGGGGCAAATGGTTCAGTGGAGAGAGTCGGCACCAAGGGGGCTGGAAGGGCTTCCCCCGAGTTATATAGACCGCGAGCTCAACTCAGATTGGTCAAATTTTCATCAATTTTCCTACCTGATGAGCCATCCCAAAATTTCACCGTTCCATCGGCGTGTCTAAAATAAAAATTCATAAATCATGATACTGAACGCTATACTAATACAATTCTCCTAATTTAATACTATAATGTATAAACCAAAGATAGTAAGTCAGCAATCCATACCCGGCTTCGCCTCGTATCTTTGTATCTGATAAAATACTGCTGCTCGTTTATTAAACAGTACTTCAAACACTCATTAATAATTATTCCGTATCTTGCTTGGTTTTCGAAATAAATCGACTTATTTTGATCAAAAGCAGCGTGCATTCCGCCATCTTGGATATACATTCGATATGCATACGTCACAAGTAGGGTAAAAAGCGAAATTTTTATCTTGCAAACCACATCTCATTATCAATATGAAACTCGACTTTCCGAAGTCTTTTTAGTACTCAATTAACACACAACATTTTAAGAAACTTTTCGAAGAAATTTAGTCCCACATAAAGAAGCTTTAACAAGTTTACCCTGCTTGTGACGTCATTAGGTCAATTCTAATACCAAGATGGCAGACTGCACATTGTTTTTGGTCAAAATATTTCGAAAAAGTTGTAAAGGGTCTTCATATATAACTTTAAAAGTTCTTTCAAATAAGACAAAGTTAATTTTTATTCGACACAGTTTTTAACAATGGACCCTACCCATATTAATCAAAATTTTGATTTCAACAAGTCTAGACAAAATTCCATCACAGAATGAAAGAGCATCACAAAATTAGTAATACTCCAAAGTTTCGTTGCGAAATGTTGTAAAATGCGGATAATATAGACTTGCGAAGTTTGCAATTTTCAGTCATTTTGTATTACGAGCGCATAATAGAAAATGACTGAAAATTGCAAACTTCGCAAAGCTATATTATCCGCATTTTACAACATTTCGCAACGAAACATTGGAATATTGCTAATTTTGTGATGCTCTTTCAAGCTGTGATGAAAATTTTGTCTAAACTTGTTGAGATAAAAAGTTCGGTTAATGTGGGATTGGTCCATTTGCTAAAAGTAAAATGATATTAATTAATAAGCGAAATATGAACACACATAGACGTTCTATATAAAGTTCACTTTGCGTTTGCAATAACGCAATACAAAGGAAAAAAGTCACAAACCCCGTGATAATGAGATCAATAGAATTATTATCGATACTATCGCCCAATGTTCCACCAGTGATAGGCCAATTCTAAAAGAAAACTGATCTTTATTGGTATGAAAAAAATAAATGGATAAACGTAATATACAATTATCACTTATTTGCTGCGACCGAGGGAAACAGTGTGTTTTGTGAACCCGAGACCGTCGGTCGAGGGGCGGTCGAGGGGCCACAAAACACATTACTTTCCCGAGGTCTCAGTAAATAAGTGTATTGTTATATAGTATATAAGTTTCAAAGTATGAATCATTCACCGGTTATTGGAGTGAACTTAATTTGAAACCAAAACTGGATAAATGGAACGCCGTAAATGTTTAGTAAAAAGTTTTAAAAATGAACTTTGGAACTTCATTGTTGACACGCATGCGTATTGCACCCATTTTATTATTGAACGTTGCCGAACATGACGTTTTGTGGACCGGCACGTGACACGGTTTTGACCAATCGGCAAACAGAAAAATTGAACTTTGACCCTAACTATATAACAATGCATGATAACATACCAAAGTCGGACTAGCTGTATAATTGAAATAAAGCAAACCTCAGAAAGTGGCTTCCTAGATTTCGACCCCGTAGCGTACAAATCCTCTAGCAATAATGGCGGGCATTCGCCAAGATAGTCGGTGAACGACACGGGCGATTCGTGCAGAGAAAATTCGTAAGGAATTTCAAACGTTGACATGCTGAAAGAAAGTTAAAAATAATTGGTTAGAAATTCCGATTTATCACTTTTCCCGTTCAAATATGGCTTCTGCATTAAATAGTAAATTACATTATGCGATGCTATAAATCGCAAAATCAGAGAATATGGTAGGTCGTTTGCGATTTGCTTCAATTTCTAGTTACAGAACAAAGTTTGTACAAATATTTAGTGTAATGTTTGCCTGTTGTAAGTTACTGTCTATTCCACATTTTCGTTTGTTCCTCGTGGCAGTATAGCGCGGTATTCTTATATAGAGTTAAATAGACGAATGTCGTTAAAACTAACCTCTGTACAAATATTGAAAATGCAGAATAGACAGTAACTGAAATCAGGCCAACATTTCATTAAATACTTCGACAGACTTTGTTTTGGAGTCAGCGATTGAGGTAAGTTGCAAACGACCTACTCTATATTCTCAGATTTTGCGATTAACACCGTCATTAAGAAATCGACTCCACTATTCGAAAAGCAGAAAATGTATGGTGACGCAGATTTTTTAGGGTGGTGCTGATTTCTCTAGGGTGGGGGGCGGGGGTGCTAGACACAACTAGGTGGGGTGCGCCAGGCCTTAAAATATCGGACGGTCACGGACATTGTCCGACCCATTCGTGAAATTGTCCGACGTAGAGAGGAAACCACCGGACATTCTGTCCGACCAAAGTGAAACTGAGGTTTATTG